TGTCAAGATATCTCTTTCATTGCTCTCCTTCTCTGTCCTCCCCCAATTTGCCCATCCCATCCCATTCCCTCATGTTCTCATCCCTCATCCTCTTCCCTCTTCCCCCCAACCTCCAGTTTACCCAGGAGGTCTTATCTATTTCTGCCCCCTAGGGTAATCCATGCACGTGTCTCTTAGGGTCCTTCTTATTACCTAGCTTCTTTAGATTTTTAGCCTGATTATCATTTGCTTTACGTCTAATATTCATCTAATATGAGTGAGTGCCCATTGTGTTTATCTTTCTGGGTCTGGGTTACCTTACTCAGGGTGACATTTACTTCTAGTTCCATTTGTTTGCCTGCAAATTTCATGATCAGGGAAATGCAACTCAAAACAACTCTGAGATACTATCTTATACTTATCAGAATGGCCAAGAGCAAAAAAAAAAAAAAAAAAAAAAAAAAAAAAAAAATTCAGTGACAACTTTTGTTGGAGAGGATGTGGAGTAAGGGAAACAAGTATTCTTCCACTGCTGGTGGGAGTACAAACTTGTACAGCTACTTTGGAAATCAGTATGGCTGTTTCTCAGAAAACTGTCAATCAATCTACCTCAAGACCCAGAAATACCATTCTTGGGCATATATCTGAAGGATGGTCAATAATACCACAAGGACATTTGCTCAGCTATATTCATAACAGCATTATTCATAATTACCAGAACTTTGAAATAACCTAAATGCCTCTTAACCAAAGAATAGATAAAGAAAATGTGGTTCATTTACACAATTGAGTATTACTCAGCAGTGAAATATTAATGACATATAGAGGTAAGTTCTACAGCCACTCCCAGGAAGTTAGATGCCACAGTAGCAGTCACCCCTTCAATAATCTGGCAACCAGAAGACTGGACCCTCTAGAACCATAGCACTATTGTCACAAACAGGAAACCAACACAATCAGAGAGTTTCTCCCCTGCTGTAGACAACATTACATTACCAGAGTGGATGTTTGCTCTGCTCTATCCAATCTCTCTATGACATATTCTGCTTGACTGGGACTTCTGCCAATACAACTGTAGAGTAAAACCAAGTGCCTCTTCACAGCTGTGCTTGCTGACTGAGTGGACAAACATTCCCAAGTTATGCCTGTCTCAGACTCCATTGCGCTGCAGTCCTAGCTACTCTGGAGTAAGGGAAGTATATTTTAGCTTTGAAACATCTGGATTGCTTACTAAGATAATGGCTTACAAAATATGGTATGTGACTAATGAGATCATCATACAGTCAAGATGATAAGTACAATATTTTTTATCTTGATCCTTGCTGGCAATGTGGGATATTCCTTCTGGATTGGAAAGATGAAATTCTGGGCAAAACTCTGTACCAACTGGTGCATGCCAGTCTTCATTATAAAGTCTCAGGAGAGAACCATGGGTAGAGTCCAATGGCTACTGAAGGCATGTGGCTGGATTTAAAAATAAAAGCAAGCTAAGGATATATTTTTTACAGGAATTTGAAGAAAGCTATTACTCAAGCACACAAAAGTGGATTATCACCCCATGAGATACTGGGGAAATTTTTAAATAAAAGTGGCTTGGAGCAGACACAAGGAATGAAGACATTTGATCTTGGGAGAAGAACATTTTCCTGGGACATTTCTTTGTCCTTTTGCATGCTGGTACTTTTCAATTATTGTCCAGAAAAAGAACCTAATCCAGACCACCTTGGAAAGACATGGTGTAAATATAATCACAATGATGGATCATACTCTGGCACCTAGCATGGGGCTTTCTGTACACTGACACTCAGAACAGGAGTATTGAATACAGGTAAAGAGAAGGGCAATTCTCATGAGATAGGAAGAGTACTTCAGATTCCCTGAACTAAGGTCCAGTTCTCAGACATGGTCATAAGATGTTTATGTTCTCATAGCCAAGGTGAACCAGTAGCTGTGGGGAACCACCATTTTCTTTTGTATAAAAATGTATAGTATGTAAGAGGTGGGAGCTACACACACAGATACACACACACTCATACATATTTACACAAGCACTCACACACTCACATACACACACTCACACAGACACACACCCACTCACATACTCATACAGTCACACACACATTCACACACACATACACACACACACACATTCACACACACATACACACACACAAAGAGAGAGAGAGAAAAGTGTATAACAGTCATGTGTGAAATAAGTAGTGAAAACTTGAAAGTGAAATACATGCTTTCCTTATGAGAATGGGCAAAAATATGTTGAAACCATGAAATAAATAACTCATGTTTAAGTGAATGAACTAGATTTACATGTATCAGTCATAGTAAACCTCAAAACTTTACTATTACTTTAAAATGCAAATCACAAAATGTCATATAAAGTATATTTTATTAAAAAATGTAAAAGCACATAGGATTGTACTATATATCCTTAGAAAACAAATACAAATTTATGTACATGAAAGGCAGGCACAGACTTCCAGACAGCAGTTATGATTCTATGGAAAGAGACTGAGGGATGGGAGAGTGGGGCTAAACTCTATCTGCATTTTTTTTAATTTTAGAAGAAGCAAATGTAAACATGGCAAAATATTAATAATTATTAAATAAGCTGATGAAGCCTAGGAGAAATATTATTTTTACTTCTCTTCTTAATTAAAAATAAATATAAACATATATAAACTTTGCAATTCTCAAAGCAAAGTCAGGCTTCCTTTCCTGAGCCAGACTAAGCAGATGATATGTAAAACATGACTGGAAAAATGTACACACAAACATGTGTGTGCGTATATGAGCATACATGTACACTTGCATGCACACCAATATATGTGCATAAGTTCAAATTAAGAAATAAGCCTTATCATTCCAATAAAAAATAATATTGGCTTGATCACAAACGTCTTTAGTTCTGGGGTCATAGCTCTAACTCTTTTCTGTGACTCAGCCATGGACCAAATCTAAAGAAGATGGAGATGGCTGGGGTCAAGAGAGAAGGGCAAAGGATTCTCTGGATGCTGTGGACCACTTTAGTGTGGGTCTGGAAAGACATGACCTGAAGTTTTTCACAAGGATACAGAAGACCCAGTAAAATCTGATGAGAACAGCAGGCAGGAATCAGGGTGACTCTCCTAGAGGGCTGGATAAGTGTAGGTGCTCCTCTGGTTTTCTACATTATAGGAACTCCACCAGGCTAACTGACCTCATTATAGAGATGACCTGGTTGTATTCTTTACCTTTTTAATTGGAAAGGTTTGTCTATTTTGTAATAATCAGTGATATTATGCTGAATGTGGATCTTTGTTCATTAAACTCTCACCAAATTCTATCTCTGTATTTTGTCTGATCACCTTTTTTGGACACTGAATGTTTCTCCAAGCCATTTTTAAATGTGGCTGGGGATTCTGAAAAAGTATCAGGTCTTGCAGTTTGCAGAGGACACACTTGTAGGCTCTGGAGAGCAGGTGAAAACAATTTATGAATGTAGAGAAACACATACAGCTTTTTTTCAGTCTCTCTAAACATCAGGGAGACTTTTTTTGTTTGCACACTAAAGGTGGAACATTTCATCAACTTATACATGATCATCCTTACACATGATGTTCATTAAGTTCTGTAAAGGTACCTGTGTGTGTGTGTGTGTGTGTGTGTGTGTGTGTGTGTGTGTGATATTCCATCCACAGCATCCACAGCGCGCGCGCGCACACACACACACACGCTGTGGATGCTGTGGATGGAGTATAAGAGGAACCCATGAGTGCATAGTGTGAAAACTCACTAAATTTTCACTAAATAAGCATACGTCTCAGTCAGCCTCAGTATCAAGTTAGAAAAATGTGCTCACTTACATATGTGTGGTGATGAATCATTGTCAAGTTGACCGAGTTTGGTTTCTCTGAGGAGACACACATTTGACTGATTTTGTGAGAGTGTCTCTAGAGATACTTACCTAGGGATTGGAGACCCATCCCAAATGTGGGAAGCACTATCCTATAGAATCCCAGACTGAATAATGGGAAAAAAGAAGGAAATAAGATGGGCACCAGCATCCATCTCTCTCTATTTCTTGACCCAATGCTCTCATATTCCTGTTGCTGTGCCTTCTGGCTGAAGTGGGCCTTTTAAATCTTTTATAGCCTTTTTCTGAAAAACATTATTCTTCTCTTTTCCTTTAGATAAACTCATCTTACTCCATTCTTTCATCCAGCACTGGCAAGAGTTTCTTTTCTTACTGAAGCATACCTCCCAGGGGCTCACACATCAATTCAAATGATCTATCAAACTCTGTCTCCCGCAATGGTATAGAAATCTCAAGCTTATGGAGGCTAGGGGAACTGAATGGCCTCTCAGGTCAGAAGAGGCTCCTGATGTCTGTTGCCCAGAAGGTCTCCCCTTTTTCAGCATCTTCATTGTCTGTCAACAACTTTTTTTTTCAAGGATTTAAAAACCACAGGAAGAATGTACTGAGAGGTGTTTGCAGCAGGGAATACCACATGTACATCCCAGGAGATGGCAGCAGCTGCTCCATGGGTAAGGAACAGCATCACCTTGGGCATTACAAGCTGGTGGAGTATCATTCCACAAGGCAGCATGGAAGTCCCTATGACCTGCTGAGATGACAAGCAGACAGGATTTCCTAGTGGTATCAGTTTCATTGTGACATGTGGAGCCTTCTTCTGCTTGGGACCTTCCAGAACTCTATCTGGAATCTCAGTTCACAAATGTCATCTTCTGAGATGAAGGAAACATTGGAGAGACACAAAGCTCATCTCCTACTCTTTCAGATTCAGTCCCTGATATCCAGGGGGAGAAAAAATGGCCCCAGGTCAAACAGTGATTAGTAGTTAGACTGGGGCTATCCAACCCCTTCTAGTGCCCATGTGGGTCTCTGTCCACATACTACATTAATTCCTTGCTATCCTCTGAAATAGACTTCCCCTTTTAAGCCCTGGGGCCATATCTTTCCAAAGGACAGAGGGAGAGTAAACTAATTCATACATGTAGTTTTAGTTGTCCTAACATTTCCCTTTTGCCCAAGTTTGGAAGGATGAAGTACTGTGTGGTAGATAGCATTTTTCTATGTAAAGGTCTAGAGCAACTATTCAGTCTGAACTACTATATAAGAAGACAGACAGCACATTTTCAAGAGGAAATGTGTTTGTATCCACATACTGGAAATTATCCACCATGACTGATATGGTAGAGTTGACCTGTAAGTAATACAGCAAGAACTGAGAGAGATTTTGGTAGATGTTCTTGGTTTGAATTCCAGACTTGCACACTGTTACCAGTGCCTGCTTCTTGACCTTAGTATTGATGAGGAGCCTCAAAGTCAGGTCCACAGAATGATTTGAGCACTGCACGAAAAACTGCAGTTGACAAATGATGAAGTACCAGCCTGGGAACTGGATTACCAGGTTCCCATCCTGGTATCCAACTCCATGGATGATACCATCTTGGTTCCATGACAGTTTGGTATTGTTGAGATGTTTTGACACTGAAAAGGTAGAAGAAGAATTATTGCTCACAGGTTAGTTACAGGTTGGAAAACTGTTTTTCAATGTTCCCATTCAGGAGCCCCGTTTTCTAGAATACTGCCCACTGTCCCAAATATTTAAACATCTTCTGTAGTACTCTTTCTGTTTCTTCTTAGGAAGGCATAAAAATAAATCCATCTGTCTTTTTTGTTTGTTTGTTTGTTTGTTTAATGCTCAAAGCTAGAGGATTGAATTACACACAACACTCCACTGGAAAAGGAAAGAACTTGCAGGAGTGTTTTCTAATGGAAGACAGTACCTAAAGATGTTTTTTTCTTATTTATCACATATAATTGTTAATATTTTCTTTTTTCAGTCTCTCTGTCTCTCTCTGTCTCTCTTTGTATCTCTCTCTCTCTCTCTCTCTCTCTCTCTCTCTGTGTGTGTATGTGTGTTAGACTGATGAATGTGTACAGGTGGAGGAACACACATGCACATGTGTGTATTTAGCCCAGAGGACAACCTTGGGTATCAGCCTTTACACACATCTTGTTTCTTGAGTTTTAGCCTGAAGGTTTATTTTTATTTATGTGTATGTATACGAATATTTAGTCTGTGTGTGTGTGTGTGTGTGTGTGTGTGTGTGTGTGTGTGTGTGTGTATGCTTATGGAGGCTAAAAGAGGGCTTAAGATACCCTGGAGATGGAAATCAAAGCTGACAGTTTTGAGATACCTGATGTGAATCAGGAGAATCTCAGTTAACTTTTGCATTTAAGATAAAATCAAAGTATGTTTTGTGCATGGATGAAAACATCAACAATGAAACCCATTATCACAAACAATTGACATATTATAATAAAATTTAAGAACACCCTTTAACTTGGTCTGAAGTTTTGAATGTCTCCTTTCCTTAAAGGGTATTCAAGCATCCTTGCAAGGGCCTCTTGTATGCACAGTAAGGGGCCTGCCACCCAGGACTGTTAAAAAGGCAGAGAATTAACAGAGCCTCCAAGTTAAAATGTTTGTGTGAAAGTCAATTCTCTGAATCCTAACAAAAGAAAATTAGCACTGACTGGTAAAAGTGCTTCCAGAACTAGGAAGCTGGCCTAGTGGTTTCAATTGATTCAGTGCTGTCTCTTTAAACCTTTTTTGCAATTCAGCTGAAAGGCATGAAGTAATCTAACTGCAAAACTGGACTTTTTTGAAATAAACAAAATGGCTATTCAGAAAATTTTGGCTATCTCTTCCTTAGCTCATTCTTTCCTGCTCTAAGAGCCTCTTATTGCTTCATTTACAAGGGACTCTTACCTGAAGCACACTGCAATATGTAAATAGGTCCTGAGCCAAGGAGCTCATTAAGCTGTCAGTCTGGGAACCAGGCAATTTTTGTAGTTCCCCCGTGAATAATTTGGTACAGGTAGTGATGGAGGCTGTTCATTCATTCATTCTTTTTTTTTTTTTTTTTTTTTTTTTTTTTTTTTTGCATTAGGAAAAAACTTGATCCAAATGAGTTGGTACGTGCACAAGAGTGGTGGGGATAATGGAAGAAGGCAGAGGTGGTGTAGTGAGGGACAGAAGTGTCTTCAAAGGCCAGGTGAGAAACACAAAGAAGTTGGTGCAGTGATTCCCACCTGCTGAGGGAGCTTTGGAACATCCCTTTATCTTTCTCTGGCCACATTCACTCCCAATATGGCCCCCAATACAGATTAGATTACAGATTTCTCTGAGTTCATTTTTTTAAAGGCTGATTGATGTTTATTCAGCAGGGATTGGGGGGGGGGAATCACAGCAAAAACAGATGACCACCATGGATTCCTGCTCCAAGGATGCCCCCAGATGCTCTCTTTCTGACCAGGTAGTAAGAGAGTGAGCTGGGGTCTGGGGTCCCAGACCTGGGCCCCACAGGTCACATCCCCCCTATCCCCACACCCCCAATGGGTGTGGTCAGTGCAACAGGTGCTGGTGGCTCGATCTCTCACTACAATTCCCCTTTTAGTCTAAAGAAAAGATTTAGACTTGGTACAAAGCTATATACAAAGACAGTAAATATCAAGTATGCTCTAGGAGAAGTTAAAGTAAGACCTATAGCCAGCATGGTAACAAGAGCAAATGGAAAGAACTACATATTCAGTACTAAAGTTCATGGCTTTTATTTTTTTTTTAAATTGTGCTACTTCTAAACCCACAACTAAAAGTTTTTATTTTGTTTTGTTTTGTTTCACCAGATAGGACTGAGGAATGAAGAGCCTTGTGGCTTTGGGCTTTGGAGAGAAATACTCTCATCTTCTTCCTCTAAGACATTCAGATTCAATTTATAAAAAGTATGATGTTGGCTAAGAGCACAGGTGTAGGTCATGCTTAGCCAGTGGTCTCTAACTGGGTCTTCTGGGTTAGAAATGGGCCCAGGACACGGCTTTCCCGGGGTTAGATTTTTCTGGTTGTGGTTACTGACCTTGGAGGTAGGCCCATGACTTCTTGAATGGAGTTCTTTTCAGGGTATATAAGAGGTCCTCTGAAAAATTTCCTAAAAATAAGATCAGGCATGAGTCATCTTGTGCTCCTCTGGGGACTGCAGAAAAACTAGACCATTTTCTGTGACCCTCTGAGACGACAGACATTTACTATTCTGTTTCTGTCTGAGGTGTTAAATAAAACACCACAACCACCACTACCACCAACAACAATCATAAGCTATTGTTTTCATTTTACTGTTAAAAGGCTTAGGATTTTCACATTTCCAAAGGTTTTTTTTTTTATTATTATTACTACTACTTGGACTGTTTTAGAAGACTGTAGAAGTTAAACAAATATGATTTAAGTGTCTAAACAAATATGATCCCACAGTGTAGTGGGCACCATTACTGACAGTTGTTTTTGAAAAGTGTTATTAAGTACCCCTAATATGTCAAGGGAGACTGGGAATTTCATGTCATTCAGCCCAAACATTGGTCTCCCCAACAGCAACATTGATGGAGTCATTGCTACCCATCATGTTGTGTGAACACCAGGCTATGCTTTTACCTGCATTAGCTAATCTGGTTTTCAGACTAACTCAGGATCAACTTTTATGAAGACACCCAAGGACATACTCAAGGCTAAGTAACCATGTGGAAATGTTAGGATTCCCTACATATGCCTCATTCCAGAGGATGGAATTCCTTCTTTAGGCCACCCTGCAACAAAGATAAGAACAACAAAGATAAAAGCTTCCCACTCAATTTGAAGAGGACAAAGCATTAATAGCATCTTTGCAGGAAGCTTCCAATCTGGAGCTTCTTTGGTAGAGGCAAGCAAAGTATTTGTGTCATTATAGCACAAGAGAAATAAAAATATTTTTAGTATCTTCACAAAGGATGGCAGCTCTTTCTTATTATAACAAACCATTTTGCATGCATACATTTTCTGTAATGACACATGGATTCAATTTATTTGGAGCAAATCTCCTTTTTTCTTTGGGCTTTGGCTCCCCTGTCTGTAAACTGGAAGCTCTCCAACCTCATGTTGATGCCTTTTTGATGGTGTCACCAGATATAACCACTCAGGCCATCCATTAGAGACTAACAGGCATAAACTCTTGCACCAGGGGCTATGCCCGGTTGTGTTTACTTACTGTCTCTTTGAATATTATGAGCACCGTACTATCCCATTGCTTTCTCTGCACAGATTTGAGAAGGTCCTTGGAGACTGAGTGTGGTTCAAAGCTGAGTGAAGAGTTCCCTCTGCTGTCTGAGTAAGTTCACTACTAGAGGAACCCTAGCAGAAGTGAGGGCAATAGTCATCCCTAGCTGCTCTTGATCTGCAAAGACCTTCTGGCTCATCAAGGGCTGAAGGCCAGCTCCCACTCTCTAGATATTATCCCATTACTTAAGTAACGATAATGTGAGGCCTGCTGCTGTCCTTCATATTCTCATGGGAACTCTGATCCCAAAATGCGATATTTTAATGGAGTGTGACTACATTAGACTTCCTGTTGTCCAGTCTCATTTTTGAAGTTATAGAACATCAACCAGAAGAAAAGAAAGAGATGTAAATTTGTCTCTTTGCTGGCAATCATTCTCTGATTCCTGTTACCTACAGCTTCTATAGGTAGCATTCATGACTTCTGGTGTTCTAACTCTACCCGATATCTGTAGTCTCAGCCCATTCCATCTCTCCTTCCCTTTTACTCTATGTCTTAATAGTAATCAATGTCTCCATCAATACCACCATATAACAAATGTTGACTATTTTTGTGGTACTTTGCTTAACATGCTAGAGCCATGATGATTTCATTTCATGTTCACTACTGCCCTGTGAGAGACAGTTATTTCTATCATGTCTATAGGACACCGTAGTCTTTAAAATGTTAACTGGTTTGTTCTCAGCTAAACAGATAGTTTCTGGTGAGGTACAATTAAGACTCAGCCAATGAGATTCTAATGTCCAAATAGATTTTTGTCCTCATACTAGAGATCTTTAATTGCAGTTCCTCTAATCAATGGATATGCTTCTGCCTTAAAACTTTCCATTCCTGACCCTTACAACCTCTTCCTCCATCCAGCAAGTTATTCTTTGAAACACACCCTGGAAGAGACTGCTGTTTAGTCTCTCCTACTGATCAACCATGAAGATGTGTCATAAACATTTGCTGAATGCAGTAATCTAGTCCAGCTCTCTTATTTCCTTCAGTAGGGGCTTACTCAGTACCTAGAGCACCAGTGTTGAGTAGGGATGCTTGCCCACCACATTCAAGAATATTGGCCTCATTTTCACAGATTCTGACAAAGTTAGTTGGGAAAGTAGGACTCATGCCCTTGACCAGGGCGAGGATATCACATAAAATACAGACTCTATCTCTCTTGTCCAAAGGCCTCTTTGTATCAGGTGGCTTGTGGTGACATCTGCAAGAGCTAAGCATCTACAAACAGATGGTGGTAAAGTACAAGCCTAATCTTGCCTCTCACACATGCAGGCTTTTTTTTTTTTTTTTTTTTTTTTTTTTTTACTTCTGCTGTTTTTCCCCTTTGGTCTTCATGTATATAGTGGGGTAACCTCAGTTGTAATTCTGAGAAACCTAATGATGGAAAAAATACAATCTTATTTTGAAGTATTTGCATTTCCTGAAGTCAAATGGCAGATATATTTTTACTTTTTCTTAAAGAATCTATTAGATGGTTTCATGCTAAAGCAGAAACATGAGCTTCTCCTTCTAAGAATGGTGTTGCTAGAGCTGGTTCAAGGATCTGATTATTGAGTAGCACTGTTGAGCTTGAAGAAGACCCCAGAGGCACCATCTGTGTTCTTTCATGTTTGGATATATTGTCAGAGTAGAAGGGTAACAGTTGCTTGGTGAGAACCAAACATCAAGGATCTCAGTCATTTCTGACAGATTAAAAAGTCCTCAGCCAAAAGCTAACACTATGACCTCCTTTCTCCCACATGGTGAATGGTGATGTCAAGACCTACACCAAAGACACCCAAGTTATAACCCAAGTCACAGAGACAAAAGCCTGAATATTTGGCCAGTGCTGATCAAGGAGTGGGTGTGCTACTTAGAAAGTCACAGGGTTCTTATTATGATCTAGACAATATTATGTGGAGTACAAGCTATGTAGCTCAAGTCTCATCAGCTTGTAAATCCATGATAAGGCATTCTATTGTGGATATGAATACTCCTACTGCATGGCAGTAGGAGCCATGCAGTGGCCCTAGAGCTTTGAGTATTAGGTGCCTAGAGTGAATTCTCTCTCTCTCTCTCTCTCTCTCTCTCTCTCTCTCTCTCTCTCTCTCTCACTGCTTTCTGTTTTCCCAACAAATATGAGTCTGGAGGGCCTTAGTTTGAGAAATGGAATATGAACTATCTGGAGATGGAGAATAAATTGCTGTGTTGGATGTTAGGATTCTAGGAGTTTCTCTTAGATTTTAGTGTTCCTATCTAGTTGTAGAGCACTGTAGACTGAGATGTGGAAGTGTCTTTCTAGATTATTCTAGCATACTGACCTGATGTATCTCTGCACTGCCAGTACTTGTGTGTGTGTGTGGGGGGGAGGGTTGAAAGCTGGGACCAGGAAGATTCCAACTTTTGCTTTTATGTGTCTGCTGCTCTACCCCAGGTAGGAAACTATATTTGCACATGTGGAGATATTCTGAGACCCAGGGGACAAAAGAGAAACTTTGCATCTCAGTGGCAATCTAAGTTATGAGCATCCTGCCTCTGTAAGAATTTGTATGACTTTTGAAATAGAAGCTGCCTTCAAGAATCCCTGTCCAAGCATGGAAAACCACTTTCATGCTCCCAATGTTGCCCCCATTGCAAATTTGTCCTAGGTCACAGAGAGAGTTAGTGGCATAGACAGGACAAGAGTCTAAAGCTCCAGATTCTCTGGCAGGCCAGTTTGTCTTCAGATTATAGTGGACTCCATGAATGTCACTGAACATCAGAACTTTCAGACTGGTAGAGTTGGTGCTGTGTGTTTTGTTGACAAGCTCTGGCTTCTAGAAGGAGGGTGGATTATTCTTTTACTTTGGAAAACTGGAGAGAAAGGTATGCCAGTGGTGTCCCAGAGACCAGTTTCCCAGAGAGGAGGGGAGAGAAAGGGGCAGGGATCCAGATTGCTGAAAGTTATTGAAAGGACCATGCATTAGACAGTAAGGATTGTGGCAAACTTAAAACTAAACTCCCCCTCCTTGAGATTTTATAATATTGGACCCAGAGGGTCATGGGAATGGAGATTATGGATTTTATTAGTGGGAAGATTGAGCCCAAAGGCCCCACAGCAGGTAAAAGAGTAGCAAACCTGGGTTCAGAACACTTTCTCCTCACTCCTATTGCTGCACTCTGTCACTCATTTTTCATTCTCCTGTGGATCCATGAGTGTTAAATGCAGGAAGAAATGAGTCTTTAGCCATTTCACACACTGCAGCTGAAATCTCAAGGCAAAGCTGGAGTGAGAGGATGGGAAAGCAGCCCAGGAGTCTTCCTGATCCTGCAGAGTGTGGAAGAGTGTCAAAAGATAACTTCAAGTCTATGTTCGGAACTGGGCCAAGGCAAAGGTTGGGACAACTGGGCCTTCTCATCAGATGATAAGTGATCTAAATGCTAGTCAACTTGTGTGCTGCAGAACCTCTCTTGTAAGGACCTGGCAGATGATGCTTCTCAGAGAGCATGTGTTTCTAGTGAAGGCTTTGAACTCATCATTTCCTCTCCTGGAATTTCAGCTACTGTACCAGTAAGAGAGGACAGTAACAATCAACACAGATGTGTAGCTGATGTGACACATGTCAAGATTAAAGATGTTAAATAACTGACCCAACATATGGCTATCAGAGACACTGAAACTGTGAGGTCCATTCTTTTCTAGTCTCTTTGTCTTATTGGCTTGGACAGCTCTGTGACACCACCCAGCAGAGAGGTTTGGCTAATGGGATGCTCATTAAAATGAAACCCATGTTATTTATTACCTGTCAGAGTGTGAACACAATTGTGTGAGGTTCTCTAATACTTTTAGGGAAGGATGAAGACTTCTTGGAAATATTTTAATCTTT